TTTTGAAATACACCAATTTTTATATACTGCAGGAAAAACGAAAATAAATATTATAGTGCAAATTTGCAAAATAACAGCATATGCATCAAAATAAACTATTTCCAGCAGTGCAATATGAGTCCTAAGCATCCCAGAAACACATAAAGTCATAAACTCAAACATAACTTTTTAAAACACATAACAAGTAAAACACAAGCTCATAAGGCCCCGATCATAAAAAACTACATTTCCGCAAAATGACGTCACTTCCGGTTTCGGGCAGGTCATGCGGTCATGTGATAGTTCGCGCTGATGGACGTAGGAAGTGTTATGAACAGCTGATCAGATCGGCGAAGCGTGTTTCTGGAATATCATGTTTTTGTTGCTGCAAGTGATTTTTATGCAGTTTTTGCAAAGCTATATGTGGAAGGAAACTGTGACCTAGGACAAGCTGATGGCATCAGATGTAAGTACAACTCCTCCGGTTTCATATGCAAAAAAAATTATTGCGCTAGCTTACGTGGTTGCAGTGCTACCGGGATTTAAAAATAGTTACGCAAAACGGAGCGTGCCCGCTCCGATCGGCTGTAAAGGGTTAAAAAGGTAAAAAAAACACATATACAAATGGTTACATTTGAGATTATTTTTGGGGAGAAGCAGAATTGAGATAGTTTGAATCCACAGCTCAGTGCAAAGAGGCATGAGTTAAACCTGATGATAAAATACGTATGCAATGAAGAAGCAGCTTACACTCCATTAACATGACCACATAACATGAACGCAAGGAAGAACACGCTTACATTTATCAAGGTGAATACATGAAATAAATTGGTTTTTTTGCAGGAGAGAGAGAAGTGAGTCGTTTAAGCACTCATGATAATAATGAAAATGTCTCAGTTTGTCATTTTTAGGTGTAAAGCAGACCTGGATCAATTTTCCACATGCAGTGGTCAGAAGAAAGTTATAGGTTAACATCACTGGAAACCTTCAGGCCAAGTTTCTGGTTGAATTGGCTGAAGACAAGGAATGCTGTTATTTAAGGTGGGAAATCAAAATTTGGGTTTGCAAACTTGGGGAAGAGAAAACTGACTGGTTAAGTGGGAAAATTATGAAGGAGTCTGAAACACTGCAAAAAGAAACATACAAAATCACACACACACAGAAGATGCATTAACCTTACAACTACGAGAGAGCTCATGAGGATTAGACAGCATGTTGAGCCTGTGAGTCTGTTTATCAGTGTTAAAATAGTGTGAACACACTTAAACCCTGAAGTTGAGGAATAACTCAGGAAAGTTTCATGACAAGAGAGTGACATTGATGAAAATGAAAAGTGATTAAAAGCTTAAAGTAGTTTTAAAACAGTGAATTGGAAGTGCTCTTGTGTCGAGTGAACAAAACAAGTGATTACTCTAGGAAGGAAATAAAATAATTTAATAATGTGGTAAGATTTAAATCTGTCTTTCTCTTGTCATGGTAACTCCTTGAGATATGACTCAGTATGCAAATTAGCTGAAATGAGTGGTGAGAAAGAAGCTTCCTGTGTGTCTGTGTGACTGAGGCTTTGAATGGAGGAAACAGAGCAGTGACTGAGGAGGATTATTTGGTGAAAGATATAATGGTAAAGTAACAGGATAACTAAATAAGGTGGTCAGGTCTGTTCAGAAGGGCAGATTTGGACAAGAAATGTATAATTTAGTGAGGACACATTGTTATAACGGGTTTACATGTTATGCTAAATCTAAGTATGTTAAAGCGCTTAAAGGGGAACATTACTGTGTGCAAACTGTGGCTTTTAACAAGATTTTTTTGTGTATTTAGCAGGTGAAATTATGTCAGTGACCTCAGACTCTCAGGACGCTGTGGAGTCTGAGGCCGCTGAGATATGATGTGGAGAAAAATGAACAGAGGGAGTGATTTTAAGTCTGATCTCAGACTATGTAAGTATTAATTAAACCAAGAGTAGGGCAAAGCTTTGTGGCCCTGAAGTTCTAATCCCAACAACATATTTATACATTAATAAGCAAAGTTGTTCTGTGTTTAAGATCTTTGGGGTTGTTGTTTGAGTGATGGGGTGATTGTGTCAGTGCGGTTTGGGTTGTTTTCTTATTTTAATAGAGGGAGTTTAAACATGGACATGTCTAGAATTGGGCCCTTTGAAATTGTAACAGTGCACTTGATGAGCTAATAATCAGCTCTCTTTTTTCTCATTTTTTGTAAGCAGGCCTGCAAGATTGAATTAACAGCGCTGAAAAAATTTTCGGGACAGCAAATATAAGGTGAGCTTTTCCAGATTACAACTGGCTGAGGGGAAGCCACACGTGTTTTTCACTTTTCCTTGGAAAACAAATCAAAAACAGTTACTTAAAACCACCATTATCTTCTACTAAGGGTTGCAAAACACAAAGGTTTACTTGAAATTGATTCAAATGTCTTTAACCATTTCCACGTTTAACTTATTACATGTATCATTCTGTACACCCCTAAGAAGCTTCTGTGCCCCTTCATAACTACCAAGATGATCATAATAAGCTTTTTCAAGAAAAGTTGCTCTAACTATGTAAACAAATCATTATCAAACCATCAGTTTATTCAAGAAAATGAATGCTTGTTAAAATGTTACTTTACTTTTTAATTTTACTGAACAGCACACCGGTAGAAAAACCCAATTTAAAAACACTTGTTTATAAAAAAACAAAACAATGAGAAACAATGAAAACCTCAGCAAACTAAGAAGGTTTTTATTTAAAAAAAACTTTTAAATGTTTATTAACCTAAACTAAAACAAACTTCTAGTAAAGGTTTGTGTAAAAATTGTTGTACTTCTCCAAAACATTAAACACATTTGCTCACATCTATAATGTTAGGCTCAAAATCAAAAAGGGCTGGCACTAAGTCTTTGGCTTCTCTAAACCTAAATATATGAACTTTGGCTGCTCATGGATCTGGGAAAAATCCCTCCAATCCCAGAATTTCTAGGAAAGCTGTTATAAAATGTACTTACCAGAATCTTTTACATAAATGACCATAATAGTGGACAAAACTTTATTTTTCCAAAGAAAAAAAATAAGAATGGCATTTTTGTTTGGGATGGGCAACCTCACAGTCTTCGCAGATTTTGAATTATTTAGTTAAATTTTTTTGAATTATTGCATTAATAACATATTTATCTGTCAGTTCGATAAGCTCTAAAATCATGGTTGGGAGTAGACTACCTGCCTCTTCTCAAGCATTAACATTCCCAGAAGTCTGCAGTTGCTTCTGTGGGTTCAGCGGTCTATACGTGGGGTTTTCAGATGCCCACATTTTCCCCAACTGAAGCCGTGTTTCAGGCCCAAAGATGTCTCCATAAACCCTGTATGCTGAAAATCAGGCTGAAGGTCTGTTACAAGGGAGTATCATCGCCCCCCCACCAGCTTTTTAATATTGATCAGCAGCAGCCCCACATAAATGCTTTGTCATTGATCAATGTTATGAACATCCCCTCTTTGAAATGAGAGGACTATTAATTTGTTTGTTTATTTGTGTTTTTGCAAAACACTTAAGAGTTACATGGAACAATGCCTAATAATTATTTAATGAAATTTAGTGACAGTAGGGGAAAGGGCGCTAATGCTGGAAGTGAAACTAAACTCTCCAATCTCTGTCTGCTTTGGACTTTTTCATGTCCAAACAAACACAACAAACACACAGTATGTAAACTGTTAGGACCTCCTAGACCAGGGGTCTCAAACTTAAATGAACTGTGGGCCACTGCTGGCACTGTCATCTCATGTGAGGGCTACTTCAGTGTTCAAGTAGTACAAAAAACCCAAACAAACAAGAAAACAATCACAAACATTTCCAAAAATGTAGTGTTTTCTTTGTTTGTTTGTTTTTATTTCAAATATTGTATAACAAGACAAAACTGCAAACGTGAACGCATTGTTTTTGCCTTACTCTTAACTAACTGAAGTCTTTCATTGAACTACCAAACTGAAAACACATCGGTCCTCTCTTTCTGCCCACACACGTGGCAGCACTTCTGCTATCATTTTGTTCGTATGTAACAAAATCAAAATGCAGACATAAGTGTACACATTAGTTTTGGACCGTCTCACTCAACTAACACAGACAATCCCTCAGCATGTTTGTACTCTCTGCTCATGTTACCTTCATATTAAATCATGTTTTGCTTTTAAAAGAACTTATTTGAACATTGCAGTTAATTCAGTTCAATTCAATTTTATTTATATAGCACCAAATCACAACAAAAGTCGCCTCAAGGCGCTTCATAGATACAGAGAAAAACCCAACAATCATATGACCCCCTACATTTAGTTAAATTACTTATTGAGTAATTAAGTTACTTTTCAGACACAGTAATTAGATAAGTATTTTAAATACAATATTGATTAAGTAAATAGTAATTAATTACTTTTTTAAAGTAACACCCTTGTACTAGAAGCTACAGTGAGGTTGACAAATAAAAGACCACAATAAAGCTATTAAGTTGCCTGCCTTGCCAGCATGTCACCCCACATAACTAACCACAACAGACTGATTACAAAATAAATCCTATTAGCTATTTTTTCTACCAGTCTTGAAATCAAAATCTTTTATATTTTTGTGATAGCAAAAAAAATAACAATAAGTAAATTGTGTGACACTTCCACAGCAATGCAGAACAATTTTCAACGCTGCACAAAATTCCCTCTAGTTTCCTCCAAGCCAGGATTTTTGTGAAAATGGGAAAATATATTACCTTGGTCAAACAAAGGTCACCTCAGTGATGCACTTCAAAGCTTCACCACAAGACACCACTGACCTTAAAGCAATTCTTCAGCATCCATTTTCCCTTTATGAGTGATATTTACTCTTCAGCAGCATTTGAAGTGATTAAATCATATCACAACAGATTTCAACAAACAGTACAAAGAGATTCACACTTTTTCATTAACATAAAGGCTCAAAGCCAAGGACTGTAGGGTTTTCTCCCAGTGGTCCCTTGTATGGAAAAAAAAAGGTAAAAAATTCCCTACCCGTGCTGCTCTGGATGGTCCTGACGGTGGTTGCAGATGTACGTGGTGGGGAGGACGGTAACAGAAGCAGTGGTCTCCCTCCTTCTCCTTCCTCCTCCCCACAGCCCTGGTCAATCGCTCTTACATAGCTGTGGCTCCGCATCCGGAAGCATCCCGGCATAGGCAGTGTGTCCATGGTGTCCATGCTGTCCATGGCAGCCTCCATGGCCTGAGACTGCATCTCACTGTACACCTGCTCACACACCTGCTCAATCTGCCCATTTACTTCCACCTCACTCAGCTGATGGAAATCAAATGAAGAAAAGGACAAACAGAGGGAATAATTTAGAGTTTAGATTTAGAGGACAATGAGGAAACCTCTATACAAATCAATTTCAAATCACTGAAATTATTAAAGTATCGCATGGTTCAGGGCAGTATTGTTGATCCTGCAGAAAAGTTTATTTGCTGCCACTTTTAAATGGCAGTGCAATCAGTAGAACAGTTGCCATGGGTGCAGCGATTGATTGGATGTTTAACACCATTACTGTTTAACCATGTGAGATCTAAGTCATCACTTGTGATGAACCCAACCATAACCTAGTCTAAAGTCTTAAACTAGTTAATCACAAAAACCAAAATAACCATGTTAACCGATTTACATCAAAACTATAGCAATAAAAAAAATCTGTTTTCCTTTCCTCTAAAGGAAACATCTAACCTCTGGGAGGTTAGGTGTGGGTTTAGGACCTAATGATGACTGTGATCACCATTGCTTGTGGAGCAATGGGTCTTTTACCACATGCTACCACTGGGTAGGGAATCTTCCCACCATATGGTGCATTTGACATCCATGGCAAAAGATACTCCTTCAAGGTTTAACGATGGGGCTCTAAAGAAAATTTAGGGTATTAGATCCTTAACATGATATACAGTTTGTGAACTATGAGCATGACTCTTGGTGGGAAATGGCAGTTTGCTAACTTTCGTGAAGATGTGAACCAGAAGCAGAGGAGAGTTGCAGAAACAGCAGGCTGAAGTATGCTGAAAAGGAAACAATGGAAGCAACATGAAAGACATGTATGTGTGCGCACATGTGTGTGTGCAAGCATGTGTGCATCAACTGCAAGGGGAAATAAAACATGGATCATCTGCAGAATCCCTAGAGCTGTCGGGTACTTTTTCACACTCTCATTTCGAGTACTGCATTTGGGTCCTACTCCTGTCGGCCATGTAGCCAGTCTTGACACCAAGTGCCTAATGATACAAAAACACAGATTCTTTGCTAAGTTTAGACAAAACATCAGTTCATCTCTTGGGTTAGGTGCCTTGTTTTGTTTGAACTATTTGAGTATAAACGAGTGAAAAAGCAGACAATGTCCAATGATAAACATTAAAAGATCTCCAGAAAGCCTGAAGAACTATTGCTCAAGACAACTTTTGAACCTATGAAAAGTCAGCCAGTGGAAAAATATGTCCACGTGTCCGTGATGTTTTTGTAACAGCAACAGTGAGATCCTAGGAAACCGCAATGGTATACAGTAATGGAATTAGGATGTGTCAACCTTCAAAGATGAGTCTTTGATGGTTTGACATCAAAACTGTTTGATGTGAAATGACTGAATAGGGTATACAGTAAATATAAAGACAGCAGTGATGCCAACCAACCTGACTGATGGTGCTCATGGCTCTCATGTAGCTTTCATTGCGTGAGCGGTATTGGGGTGAGGACAGCAGTGATTTGGGGTCGAGGAGGGTTTTGGGGTCCAGGGTGTCCAGGCTTCTATTGATTGAAACCTCACTCACCGCACGCAGGTAACTGTGGCTCCTGATCTGCAGTTTGGGGGAGTGCTCAGCTGAAATCCTGCAAACACAGGTGTTATATACAATGTCTGACTGTTATAGGTTGACTTGTTTCCTTTCACCAACTACACTAGATACACACACCTATGTACACAGATAACCTCATATAGGTGTAAGCATGCAAACACACAATATAGACACAGGCCTTAGGGAGACGCACACGAGAGACAAGCACATACCAATGGACACATAACAAACTTCTGTCTTTGGACACGTTTAGAGGCTTAAGAAATCTTTCTGTTTTCTGTAAATAGAACTGAGCCTAACGTACACATGTCAAGGTTAGGATAGGGGAGCATGTGAGACATATGTGGACCCTGCGACTTGGAATATTTTTGGAAAGGAGACAGCAGGTCTGAGGGGAGTCGAGGTCAGGAGACCCCCAGCAAGAGGAGGCTCTCTTAAATATAACCATATGTGGCATCAGATGCGGAGAACCAACAGGTATAAATGTAAAGGTAGAGAAGCTGTGTCTTTGTCTGACTCTGTAGCATGGGAAAGAGAAGACGTATGCATGAATAAATATCTCAAACCACCTTGGAATAATCTTCATTGTCTAAACCACCATCATGCCACTCCCTTTAGACGTGGCTTTGGCAGATGATCTGCCTCCATCTCACCCATCCCCAGCATCCTCTTCTGTCAAACCAACACTCTGCATGTCCTCCTTCACTGCATCCGTCTATCTGTGTAGTCTCTGTCTTTGACTCCTGCCTAGCAGCTCCATTTTCAGCATTTTTATCAACTATCCCTTCTCAGCATACTTTCAAACCATCACAGCCTAACTTTCCCTCCAAGCCAGTCACCCTAAGCTAATATTATGCAATTTATTTGCAATACAAAATGACAGATGATATAAGAAAAATTACACATGATGTAGTAGATTTCTTTAAGAAAGAAATTTCAAAAAGTATCTTAAGCACTGTTATCACCTGTTTCATAATGTCTAATGAGCTTCATACAGTTGAGCATAATCACTACATGACAGAAACACAAGCTTCATCTCTCTCTTAATAAAAATAGTTTACATGTATGCCTGAATAAAAACAAACAGGTGAGATGTTGGAACGCTTTTATTTTTATCTTAATAAACACTCTAAACTTACAATCAACAGCTGGGGTTTACAAGAGAACTGAACTAATATTTAAAATATAATCTGATCAATTTTGGAGCCTTTATGATCTTCATATATCAACATGCTGTTTTTGGATTTGATGGAGAGCATTAACAAGCCGCTAGCTGCAAATAATCATGTGCAGTTTCACATGATTAACAGACAAAGAAGACATATTACTGATGCAGAAACAGTTTTCAACAGGCCATGAGCAAACCATGGTGCTCACTGGATAGTTTCAATTTTGGATCATTCTTTGTAAACTCTATCCCAGTAGTTTCTGAAATACTCAGGCCAGCCCATCTGGCAATAACAGACATGCCACGTTCACTTCACAGCTGTTTGCCAGTAGTGCGAGTTTCCGTCATTATGCAAATATGTTGTTTAAAAGGTTGGGGAAACCTGCAGTCAGCTGAGACAGAAGAAGTCACTTGGATGAGTGACAAGACGTTTCTCCCACTGAAAACGCTACATCCAGATAAACAGAACCAACTTTTGTGGATTTCCTTACTTGGATGGTTGAGCATGCATCAAGACACTTCGTATTTGGAGTTTTGTAAACATTTTATTGAATTAAATGATTGGAACAGGTGTGCCCTTGTAGAGAAACAATTGTCTAGGAAATCACCATCACAAACTATAGACACATCTGGGGTATAAGCTGCTGTCCTTGAGGGGTGCAACCTGAACTCTACTTAAGAAACTCCTAAGCTGCTTAAAAATACTCTTCCCCACTCCTAACATTTTTTGTCTCTTTGTTTGTTTTACCTTTTTCCAGGGGTGTCAAACTCCAGTCCTCGAGGGCAACCCCTAACTCTACTCAAGCGAATTTAAGTAATTGTAAGTGAATGGCTGAATTGCCACCTCAGCATGCAGTCAAGTTCTATAGAGTTTTGCTAATGACCTACTAATTTTATTCAGGTGTGTCGCAGCCGGGACACAGTTAAAAGTTTTAGCACACCGGCCCTCGAGGGCTGGAGTTTGACACCCGTGCTTTTGAAGCAAGATGCTTTATCATTACCACAATTTGTTCTTAATTTTCAGGTGAAATTCGACGATTTCTTGTTCTCACTATGTGCAACTCTTACTAATGGAAGCCTTTGCAAGTACAGGTCCTTCTGTTTCTTATAGTATGTCACCCATAAACCAATGAGGAATGGAGGGGCTTACTGTAGAGTGGTCATCTCAGTCAGTGATGGCTGTGTGGCTTTCAGGTAGCTGGCCCGCCGAGCTTGGATCTTGGGAGAGGGCTTGGGACTTCCATCAGAATCTCCGCTGTCATCCTCAGCCATGGCTTTCACATAGCTGCCGCTTCTCATCCTCCGACAGGGGATGTCATCTTCCTTCCCTAGAGGAGAGAAGCTGCTCCATTCATCCTGAGGTACCTGATGACCACACCAAGAGGACAAAGAACAGTGTTAGGAGGATCTGCTCCACTGCTGTTCAAGTCCCAGCCACTACACTGACTAACTAAACTGTCCTGATGGTACATGAAACCAAGCTAGCATGCAGAACAACATTTAATACAATAAAGAACAAAACATATTGACCAAAAACACAGTTGTACTACACTGATGGATAGCATTTCCTTTTTATATCTCTCTCTAACACACATCATCCATACAGATTTCTCTCACTGCAGTAGTACAGTCTGTTGGGTAATCAACATGGGACAATATGTGTAGAGACTGGTCTGGCATTTCTCTTTGGCCAAACCACGCATCTGTCAACACAGAAGTGTGCTAATGCATAACATAACAGAGTGTATATGTGCCTTTAAGTGCATGTGTGTTTGTATGTGCGTGACCTGAGGGCCTGCTTGCTCACTGAGAAGAAACTGTAACACAAAAAAATAACTGGGCAAAATATGCAAATTTACAAAAAAGAAAGAATCTTTCTGAAATCAAAATATTAACAATGGTTTGTAATATTGTTTTAAAAGTGCTGAGGATGCAGTAGAACTTGACTGCATGCTGAGGTGGCAACCCCTAACCCTGTTCAAGTAAATTTAAATAAATGTAAGTGTTTGGAAAAATGTACCTCTCTAGCACCATGTTCATCACTCATGAGCTGCTGTAACATGAGTAGGTCTTGCTAATGATCTACTAATTTTATTCAGCTGGGACACACGTAAAAGTTTCAGGACACCGGCCCTTGGGGACTGGAGTTTGACACTCCTGGCCCAGCCAGTCGAAACAAGTCCTTTTGTCCTTATTTAATACTCAGTCTCACATACAACTCAACATAAACCATTTTCTTTGCCTTTGTTACCTCTTTCTTTGCCGTACACCTAGCCTTTCAGTACTCCTTTGTACTTTCTTCAGCTTCCTTAATATCCCACGTTTTCTTTGCTAACCTCTTCCTTTGAATACTTTCTTGTACTTCCTCATTCCTCCACTAAATCTCCTTGTCCTCATTCTTCTGTCCAGAGGATGTACGAAACAGACTTCCCCGACCTGTTTAGTTTCTGATAACTCTTCCCTACCACCCAGAGTCGGTCTCAACTCCTCCCTGAACTCTGTGAAACATTCTTCTTTCTTTGACTTCCACCATTTCATCCTTGATTCTACTTTTACTTTCTTCCTCTTCGTGATGTCCAAAGTCATCCTAAAGTCTACCATCTGATGTTGCACACCTACATTCTCCCCTGACACGACCTTGCGGTCTCCTAACTCTTGCAGCTGTAATTTACCTTCGTGCACCACCCTCTGTTCATCCCTCTTCTGTAAGTGTTCACCACAGTCATCTCCACAATATTTACAAAATCCAATACCATCTGTCCCTAGCATCTCTCTTATTAACACTATACCTTCCAAACACCTCCTCAGACCTCTATTCATTTCAACTACATTAACTGGGTTACATTTTAACTACTTCATTTTAACAAGTTCATTGGAATCTGCTCCAATTACCACTCTCTCCGCCCTTGGGACTCTCTCTACTACTCTCTACCACTTCATTCATTCAACCTTAGTCTTTAGCCAACAGTAGGACAGTTTCCACCAGCACATTGTTGGCCAACAGCACCGGAGGTGGTCATTATTAACCTGGGCCTGAACTGATAATAACACTATGTTAAGGAAAGATATAGCACCAAAATGTCTCAGGCAAAGTGAATAACATTGATTGTTGCATTAAAATGCGATGACATCTGAAGTAGGGGTGTGCAGACCCAGCATACCTCTGCATTGCACAAGCGCCTGCTGTATCAAGGAAATGTGCACATGACTTAGAGTTCAAAGCACTGACCTGGTGACACCCACCAATGTCCCTGTGCCAGAGGTCAGAGGACATCCAGAATGTGTGCCCCAAATGTTGTCAACAAATCTTTTGGTGGCGCAAGCGGGAGCTACACAATATTAGGTAGGTGGTTTTAATATTATGGCTGGCCAGTGTAGATGTAGTGTGGCGCTGCATGAAACTTGTGTTTACCACCTTCACATTTAAGACCAGAGTGTGAGAATTTGAAAGACAATAACAGAGACAGACAGCAGGAGAAATGTACTGCTACTCTGACTAATTATATATGAATCACACAGGGAAAGAGGCTGAACAGATCTGCTGAGCTAAATATCTCTCTCTCTCTCTGTATGTGTGTGACGTCAAAGACACACAAATGAGCAGTTTGGCTAAAAAAAGAGAATGCGAGGAAAGAACCAGCTGCAGTCAGCAGCAGCAGTGCTTCTCACCCACGCACAGACTTCACTTCCAGTGCAGCTCAACACTCATTCTGCTGTAATGGCTGAGGAATAGTGAATTGCTGCAGTTGATAGTTTAGACTGCGCTTAATGCAGATGCTGCTTGTCAGAAATGTGATGCGTCTCTAAGCATTTACAATGAAATCACTAACATAATAAATGAATAAAGAAGTCCCTGTTCATGTGATTCCGTGACTCAATATGTACTGCGTGTCCTAAGCATCGACTGTGGGGTTTTTTTTTACTGCGAAATGTAGACTGTTTCCTTGGCAACACTGTTTTGATAGATTAAGACAGCAGTATTAGAAATAACAGGTACTGTAACAGTGCAAGCAGCACCCAAGCTGAACAGAACATACAGCCAAGAGGGATGGAGACAGCTTTAATGTGCTCTTTTGACACAGCTAACTGAGCAGCTCTGATAAGCTGTTTGTAGCTGATACTTAACAGCAAGACTTTGCATGTAAGACAAACGTAGCTTTTCCTCAGTTTCCCAGTCATGCTAATCTTTTGCCCTTGTCTCTAGTTTGGTTTTGACTTGATTCGGCTTGTCTACGCTCATGAAGCACATTTGTAATCTTCCTTATGTGAAAGTATTGTAGCTATGCACGAATATTAAATTCAAGCTGACTTAGTCCAAAGTTCAAACAGGAGTTCCTGTAAAATCCCACTTATTATCTGTGAAATCTAGCTCAGCAGGAAATGTCACCCGTGTGGACTAGGTCTGGGTATTGCACTACACAAAATTATATTTTTTAAAAAGACACAAGCAGAACTTTCATGAAAACTGCTCCCCTTTCTAACAAACCTATAGGAAGATGGTGCACTGAGGTCATATACTGTTTAAAGTGCATAGCACACAGCACTGGATAGTGGCCCTTTTTATGAATAGAAGAGATGGACAATGAGCTCAGGGAGGCTGACAATAGCCAAGTGATCAGCAGTAGCTCAACAATCAAGGTGATGTTTAGCCCATTTCCACAGGTTAAATTAGTAGCATCATTTCATTCGGATTCATAATGAATTAAATCTGCCTCTCTAGAATTTCATGTTGTATTTCCACAAATATTGACACTTGCAACAAACACGTGTCTAGCCGTGTACAAGCTTGCACTTTTGTGTTGGATCCATTTGTGGGCATCCATCGTCATTATCAATTTGGAAAATAGGAGAATCTTTCTAATTGTTGTTTTGGGATTTTTTGTTGTTTTTTTATTAGACCATAATGTGATCATGCTAGGAACATGCTCTTTAGTGCAAATGTGAGGGTGTGGGGAGGGCACAGTGAAGAGTGCAGAACAAACCAGTGAGGCATCTGGACAAGTTGTTAGAACTTAAGGTACAAAAAAATAAAGCACCATAAACATCTTATAATTGAGTACAGTTTTAGCTGTTATTTATCCAGGTATGCTACCTAATTATGGTCAGCTAAGTCTTTCATTGTTGCATGTCGATGAGTAAACTTCATGCTGGAAATGAGAAATAAACTCCCACTGTTTGTGTTCCTCTCTCACATACATGTGCTCGTATTTTATTTATTTCTTTTCTCCACACTCCATAAAGCACAATGTGGCTTTATGGAGTGTGGATAGTGCTACACTAATGGCTACACGTTAACCTCTACAGCAGGGTGTGGTTTGTGGTTCAGCTGCAGGGGAGGGGTGGAACAGCGGGCTCTGGGGACAGTGCCAGGGAAGGCTGGCTGGCACAGCTTTATCCATTACACTAACTATGCCTTCTCTATTTCGGTAGTCGCCAGGGCTCAGAGAAGGGAGCTGTATGGTGTGTGTAAGCTGGAGAGGGCAGCTGCAAAGCTGCGTGTGCTTCATTGTAAATAAAAATCACTGACATCAAACTCCCAAGCATCGGGTCCTTCTTGCTACAGTTGTGCCGAAACCCAGCTCAGTATGATGGATCAGCAGCCAGTCCTGGCAGTGGAGGCATTGGCACAGATGGTGGGAGAGTTGGCAGTGATGCACCAGGAGCTGGAGGTGGTGCTGAATAAACTGCGGGTCCAGGCCGAGTGACAGACATTAGATGCAGCTGCTGTCAGGCGAGGCCCAGGCAAGGGCCTCGTTTGAGAACATCTGGGGTTGGGAGACAGGCCCCTCACCTACGCCGGGTGGCTGCACGATGCCACACACTGCAGGCTGCAGCCCAACCCCATGCTGAAAGAGGTGTGACTGCTGGATGTGGTAGTGCATGAACAGTTCGTGAAGGGGCTCTCAGCAGAGCGGAGTGGGTCGGCTATCACTGGCCAGCGAGCCTTGAAACTGCCGTGACCCTAGCTGAAGATCACTTGGTGGTGCAGCTGGGGCAGTCCCGAGAGTAGCTGTGGCCAGTGGAAGTCGACCAGTCCCGCCCCTGAGGAAAAGATTTCATGACAGGACACATTTGCCAGGATTGCCCAGTAATGGAGGTGGGACAGATGTTCCTTCTGACACCGTCCTCCGGTCCCAAGAGAGACAGACTGCATACTGGTAAGGTGCCAAGGGAGTATATGCCAGGCCTTGGTGGCCTTGTGGTCCACCAAACCCTAGTTAGTCCAGGGGCATTACTGGAGGCAGAGTGGGTGGTGGTTAGGTGTGTGCATGTGGACATTCATAAATATCCCATGGGACCGGTTGAAATTAATTATGTCAGGCACAACACATAGACTGAAGGCTGAAGTTAGCTCAAGCCTGATG